AGATTTTTTTCTAAAAACGAGAAATTTTGTAACATTAATTTAAGTGATCGAGGCCGAACAACTTCTCGATCTAATCTGCTAAAATTAAAAAAACGAAAAGCGTAACATTGTTCATCAATTAAATCCCTGCAAGTTGAATTTGGTTACTTTCACAAATTTTGTCTCGCTTCAGTGGCATAATGATTATTGTGTATAAATTATCTGAAAAGAATTGTAAAAACGATTGAACAATAATTATTGTCGTAAAGCACGTGCGTTTCAGAAATTTTTCAATCTCATCCCTCCACAGCCTGGAATAAAGTATGTACGTGTTTGGAGCTCCTTATAATAATTTTAAAGAGACACGCCCCAAGAAAATGTATGCTTTTGTTAACATAATACTGTTTGATGAAAAAAGTAAAATAAGGAGAGTCAAAAAATGTGATTTAATCACAATCAAATTCCTTTAGGTATCTAAAAATTGCATGGTTGGAATAATTTTTTCCATCCCTCAGTAACCTACCGTACTTTGTTAACCGTGCGTAATTTAAAAACAAATTTTTAGTTGCACACTCGTTTTTCCAGCGGCAACGGGGAAAACGACTTTATTTTTATTTCGTGACGTACGATTCCTTCCCCCGATAGGAGGATAATGTAGACGAGAAGCACAAAATAGAAAGCAACACGAGAGTGGAGTACACGGGTGCACTCGGCAAAGCGAGAAAAACAACGCCACGGAGCCAGGGAACTGGAGCTAGGCAAAGAGCGAGCGAGGGAGGGAGAGAGAGGGACAGAGTAATAGGGAAAAAGGCGGACAGAGTAAAATGGAACGCAAAACAAACTCGAGTCGGAAAAGAAAAAGGCCGGAGATAAAGTACAGAGGGAAAGGTAGCGGCGACGAGAGGACGGCCGGGGGGTGAGTTGGCCTGGGAGGATGGGACGGGTCTGTCTGTGCTTTGGTCCGTAAAGAGAGTGAAAAAGGAGGAAACGGGGAAAAAAAAAAGAAAAAGAAAAAAAAAAGAAAAGAGGAAAAGCCGAGCTCGCTTGCGAGTAGTCGCGGTGCGAAAGAAAAGGGCTGGAGGGTGGCGTGGGGTGGCTGGGCGTATAGGTGAGGAGGGTGGGAGAGTTGTTAGAGGGAGGAGGGAAAAACGAGAGAGAGAAAAGGACAGAGATGAGATGAAAAAGGAGGTATGAAGGCGGGGTCGGTAGAGACAGAGAGGGGCAGGGGGCTCAGCGGAGGGTGGGCGAAAGGAGAAGCCAGGCCCGCGGTGTATCGACCCGAGTTTTCGTGCTCGGAGGGAGAGGAACCTCCGCTCCAGGGGGTTTTGTGTTACCATCGGGCATCCCACCTAGGCTGCTCCGAGGCTGTGGCTCGTATTCGTTTACCCGAGAGACAGAGGGATAGGGGGAGGACCAAGATGAGACACAACGACCGATATTCCCCGGGTCAAAGAGGGGACGCGCCCTCTTCCCTCAACCCTCCCTGGCCCTCCTTTTCTCCTCTGCGTCTTCTGTCTTCTCTCCCCCAAGAGCTGTGCTTGTGTGTCTATCCCGAGTTTGTGTCTGTGCGTTGGTAAGCGCTGCTGCCACTGGTGTACGGTGCTCGGAGCCTTGCCTTCCACCCTCTCGAGCTAGCCTCGAGGATCCCTGTGTTCCGGGCTACTCTCTTTCAATGGTACTCGGGTCACCGAGATGCGTTTATGCAGATTGTTTAGAGTGTGCTTGTTTCTTATTTTTTATTTAAAACGATTTTTTTTTTTTTTTTCATGTACAACGACACTTTATTTCATCTTGATTGCGAAGCTCATTATCTGTACATACTCATGACATGGCTGACCTTTAGAATAAAAAATATAAAATAGATAGAGATGCCCAACCAATTTATTTTCCTCAATCATTTTAAATTTGAAGATTTCATTTTGTACTTGAAAGAGTCGTATGTGATGTAGAAAACAAAATAAATAAATCTGTTTTTCTAAAATATATATGAATTTTCAGAATTTCATACTTATTTTAGATTTTTTAATAATAATTAAGGGTTCTACTGAGGTTTATTTTATAGCAAAATTGGAATAACGTGTAATGTGAATTAGAAAATATATTCACACTTGATGGAAAACTCGACAGTCGTTTTACGGTACCTACTTGAATGGTTGCTTATGTGTAGATGTAATACAACGTCAATTTTTTTTTTTTTTTTACGAATGCTCGTCAGATGAAAAAACTTTCCTTGTAAGACAGTATGAACGTCACTACTTTTCTATTTCTGGTGCCGTCACGTAATCATACAAAACTATTTATATTCTCCTTGGGATAAAAAAAAGCATGTGGCTACTTTCTGAATCAGAAAACGAGATTCTGCAGATATTTTTTTTCATGGACCAAATTTAATTATTTTCAATTCTTGAGTGATGTTAGGATTACAGTTTTCCCAAGATATCTCTCTCTTTTTCTGTTAAAAAAAAATAAATAAATAAATAAATACGCAAAAACGATGTGAAACGCTATATTGACTTTTTTTTATCTAATGCAGTATTGCCTTTTTTTTTTAGATTCCAGTAAACGAAAGGGGTTGATACAAAAAGTGCCCAGTGACATGCATGACGCAACTAAATCGTTAACTTCGCTAAAAGCGTTGCTCCGAGTGTTTATACATAATAAACTAAAGTAACTAGTGCCAGTGAGCTCAGCAATTCGCATATATGTATATGTAGGTAGCAACTCAGCTATAGAGATACGCACGCGAATGCATGATAGAGAAGAGTTAAAAAATAAAAAAAAAAAAAAAAAAAGGGAAAATGACGATACAGGAGATACTCCTGTAAAAGGACGAACGGGGAACGGGCATCGCTGATTCCTCAATATCTGCAATCACACTCTGTTAAACGCGTTAACGATCCACGGGGTCCTTCTTTTCGAGGCTAACTCACTCGCGCAGAATGTTGGTGCAGTACCGTTTGTATATACGGAAAACATGCGTCTATAATGTGGGAGGAGCACGCATCAGCCGTTAACGCAGGTAGACTCGTGTCACTCCTGCTGGGGGACTCCTTCTTGTTCAGAAAATTCTATAGTCACGTTATCTGCCCTCGTTTGTTTCTATCTTTGTTTTTTGTTTCATCTTAATTTTTTGGCTTCTGTCAAGTGAGTTTGATTTGATGATGGTAGTTTTGACGTGTATTTTTTTTCGCAAGGTTTGTATACTTTTTTTCCAAGAATTTCAATTTTATTGTATTTATTTTTTCGTCATATTTTTATTTCACTATACACTTTTATGTAACCCTTACTGGCCGTCTATCTATCTTTGTTTGCGGTGGAATGGACAGAATATTGTTATCAACATTCAAACTACTTCTAGATTAGCTATTACATACAATAATTTTTTTTTTTTTTTTTTTTTTACAATAAATTTTTTTACAATAAAGGAATAGTTAAGCGATCAACAGGTGCTTTTAGTATATTAAAACGATAAACAAATCATAAATTACCATCTTTTTTGGAAAACACGTTATAATTAACTTCTGTCTCCTCTAACTAGATAATGTCTAACTAAATAATTTTAGTTACATAACCAGAAATTAATGATTCTCAAAAGAAATCACGCAAGAAGTTGAACTGTTAAAATATTAATTTTAGGGTTTGAGTATAATACAAAAATAATTTAGTTATCAACAGGTTTTAATATCAAAACAGCAACGGTAATAGTTATTATAAAGGGTTTTTTTTTTTTTTTTTTTTTTTTTCATTGTCAGAACTGTCCCCTAGCTCTCCTAAAACCAAGTTAACGTTTTCAAAACATTTTTGCAAACATTTTTTATTGTAACTTGTTACAAAATTTTCTACAGCTCAAGGACTACATAGTTTGTTCAATGTAGGCTTGAGGAAAGATTTTTTGACAACCAATTCCAAGTTGCCTTTGTAAAGTTCAACAAGTATCATAAGCAACACGGCTCATTTTGAATCCAATAAAGTAGCATCCGACTTGGAAAGTAAGTCCAACTTTAATTGTACATCAACGGCAAACACAGCTAAGTCTTTTTTTTTCTTAAATTTTTTACTTTCCGTTTGCATCAAACAAATTTTGAAATCGCAGAACAGCAAAAGGTGCCGCCCACTCGTTTAGACGAGGTACACCTATAAGATACAAATAGGTATGTATATACGTATCAGCAAGGCAGGCCCTTCTCCTCGTTCGCCTCCGCATTGTCGTCCCTCCCACGTACCGAGAGAAAGCCACGCTCATATACGTATATATATTTGAAGCTCGCGACTCCGTGACAATAGAGGCGAGGCCTGCTGGTGTTCCGCTCGCGCGCGCGCAACACCAGAGCACGCAAAACGCGACGAGGTGCGAGGGACCACGACCCGAAGGAAAGAGAGAATACGCGAACAAAAGCCGCGTAGGAGAGACGAGCCCGCGCTTCAACCCTATAATATACAGGGGGAAGAGCCAGGCACGCGCATTGCCGCCGACCCACGACAATGAGAAGAGGAGGTTGTAAGGCCACCCCCTCTCAGGCAGCCCTCATTGTCATCCGCGCCCCACCTCCTATCGCGCCGGTGGGTGTATTGTCTCTCTCTCTCTTTCTCCGTTTGGTTCTTCTTTTTCTTCGTTGTCAGACCTGTCTCTCCGTGGAAGAGGAGGAAGCTCGGTGCTCACTGCCCATGCGTCGATGCGCGCGAACCATTGTTTTCGCAAACGGGGACGGCCTCTTCCTCGGCCGTGTACTAAACGCCATTGTGTCGTCGTTGTCCTTACCTTCTTGCATCGTATATTCACCTCATAACATGATTCGTTTCATACCATTTTTTTTTTTTTTTCTTTCGGGAGATTTTCGCAGGTGCGCAACTAAATGATTTTTGGGAGAAAAATGACTCTAAAAACAACACTAACAATACTTTTTTTTTTAATACCTATTCGATGTCTCGAGCAAAGGACATTTACTTTCCTGATATTAAAATACACAATACACATACAATGAGCCACGTCTTCCCAAGTAAACATCCATCCGTTCTATGAACTACTCCGCGTTAAGTATGGTCGTCTTCTCGTGCCTCTCGACAGCAATTTTCTTGATCCTATCCCAGAGCAAGGGATAGGGGTGGATGGTCCTCGCGAAATCCGCCCTCTCGAGCCTGTAGACCTTGCAAGTTTCCACGGCGACGACGCTGGCGACCCTCTTGGCGTCGGGCATCACCAGGGCTATCTCCCCAAAGTACGCGCCGTCCTCCAAATGGCAGACCTCCCTGCCCGTCAACGTGTACACGGCCACGGTCCCGCTAGCTATGAAGTACATGCAGTCGCCGGTCTGGTTGGCCTTGACGATGACGTCGTTGACGAGAAAAAATTCAGACTTCAGCAGAGTGACTATCCGAGAGAGCAGGGCGTTGGGCAGGCTTTTGAAGAAGGTGACGTTTTCCACGAGCTTGCGACACGAGTACATGCGAATTTCTTGGCGCAGCTGTTGCGACAGGACGTTCAGGATCTCTTGGTTGCGGTAAAAGTGGCCTTGAAAGCGAAACTGGTAGTAATTGACTATGCGATTTTGCGTGCGACGGGGCAGCTGCTTGTGGCTCATGTACTGCAACAAGTGGGCGACTGTCGATTGGTACTTGAGTCTCGAGGCGCGGAAGCCCTTGAAAAATTGCATTATCCTTGCAATCAGGAAACAAAAGATCAGGGTGCCAATGAACTGGAAGGTAATCACCTGGGGAGCGAAATTTGCATTCGAAATCGGAACTGAATCGAAAATCTACTACCACTTGCAATCGACATTTTCGGTATAGTTTGTGTTGCACTTACCAAGTACTGATCCTCAATGGTCTTGGGCTCCGAGTTTGCCAGGAAGCCCGCGTGCATGAAAGTCGCGACGGCTCGCAGCAGACAGTGGCCGTACTTGCTGATGTCGCTCGCGTTGTCCATCAGACCGACAGAGTTGATCCAACTGTCGTCGTCCGGTTTCTGGGGCAGGGTCACAGAGACGGCTGCCACTGGGACTATCCAGAACAAACAAGCTTGCCAGTGTAGGATCATCACGAGGGAGAAGGTCATGCTGAGAATGTCGTAGAACGGACGGCGGATCTCGAGCTCCTTGGCTATTTGGTTGCTGTAATTAGACAAGGAGAAGATCCGGAAGATGAAGAGGAGCGAGCAGAGCTCGCGGGAGACTATATGGTGTTCCCAGTCGTCCACGAAGATCAGGTCCGTCGGGAAGGATCCTAGAAAATCAACGGTGAACCTCTGCCTCGAGTACCTTGAAGCTATTCGCTTGGGTTTCATCTCGACGAGACTCTGCGTCTTGTCGAAGAACCTTTGGTGTGGACGAACATTGATTGGATTACGTAATGCGGGAAAAATGGGTTTACGGGAGTGTTTTAGCGAAAAAATCGGTTGACGGGAGAAATGGGCGTGGAAATGTATTTACCTTACCCAGTCAAGAAATTAATGGCCATGTCGACACAGCAGATCGATAAAAAGGTGTTTTTGACAACAGTCCACGGTAGCGTGTAGTTTCTCGTCATATCGAAAGCTGCCTGATAGGGGAAAATTATTAGGCCCACTGTCATTGTCGTCACCATAAGGGTATTCCAGTAGTACCTGCGCACAGAAATAGGCTGTATATGTAACATTAATATTTATATTAAAAAAAATTTTTTTTATTTTTCCTTATTTTTGGTACAAAATTACCTGAACGTACTGAACGGGTGAATAATATGCCTGTTATGTCTCAAATGGTAGCGCTGCTCGTAATCGATCGAGGCGTGACTCCTCAAGTACTTTTGAGCACTTCGGCTTTTGTGTGATGCCATGAAGGACTTGTGTATGGTACTTAATAAATTATTCACTCGACCCTCTCGAGTTTTTCTGTGATAATTGTGAATAGTATTGTTAGGTTTACTGGTGCTTGGCAGACGATTATTTTGAAGCTCCATTTTATGCAAAAACTCGGGTTCTCTTAGCAATATGTGGATTTCACGGAAGTCTGACTTGTCAGGTTATGTTTATTGTGTAGTTGTATGTGAACTATCAATGCTCTTTCTTTTTTACATTATTAGCTAAGTTGGAAAAAGAACGATACCTCCGCATTACTGTATGATCGCTATATAATTACGAAGGACGATATATGAGAAACTCAAGAATTTTCGTGGTTTTTTGTGAAATTCATGCTTAAACATTAATGAGAAGCTGAAATTTATAAGAAATACCGTAAAATTGTTTAAATAATTGTTTTATTATGCTACGACTTTGAGAAGTATCATACGTTGCCATCTCTTGAATCATTCGTGAACTAATAGGATGGATCGATATTTATTTTTAGGGTAACGAATTTTTAATAAAAATTTTAATTTTTTTAGAGTGGTTGTAAACATTTAACCAACTATTGGTATTTTTTAAAAGCTTATGTTTATTATAATTATGAAATGGGCATTTGTAAAACTAAATAATTTTGACTTTTTAACAAGACTAATACTATACCAATTCTTGTCATTTTGGATTATTATTGTTATTATTGTTATTTTTACCNAACTGATCGACCATAATAAAATTATAACAATATATTAATGTTATGAACACAAAACATCGAAAAAATTAGAGTCTCATCGAGCCGGTTAACTGGAAATACTATTAAACCAAATACTCAAAAACAAAGTTTTTGGCTTAAATTTATGATAGCTAGGTGTTTTAACTCCAGGATTTCGGTAACAGTAAATGCAATGACATGGTTCTTTTTAGTTATTTTAATGAGTATCTCTTTTGGCATTAGACAAAATCAAACCTTTTATAGTCAAAGTTTAAGATCTACTTTCACGTAATATCGAATACATTTTATCGATTGTATTTTTACTCTGGTTTTTAAATACATTAATCTTAATATTTTAATACATCAGCACCACACTAGTCATCTAATAGTTTTACAAAATCGTGATGTATCGTAAAATGCCACCCTTTTTTTGATGGCATGTTATTCAACAAAGTCTTGTATGTAAAAAATTAGTCTTTTACATGAATTTTCTATTTCTTAAATTATAACACTGACAACAAGGTATAGTATAGACATCTCGACAATTTATCTCTTGACCGACATGCCCGTTATGTCCTCGTGCCACTTTATGGCGCTTCTCCTGATCCTCTCGTAAAGCACCGGGTACGGATGAACCGTCCTCGCGAAATCTGCCCTCCTGAGCTTATACAGCTTGCTCGGCTCCACGGCGATGACACTCGCGACCCTCTTGGCTTCGGGCACGATGATTGAGATCTCCCCGAAATGCGCCCCATTCTCCAGGTGGCAAATCTCCCTGCCCGTCAACGTGTACACGGCCACGGTCCCGCTAGCCACGAAGTACATACAGTCGCCCGGCTGATCGGCCTCGACGATGACGTCGTTCGTCAGATACGTCTCGGACACCAGCAGCGTCACCAGCCTTGCGACGAACGACCGCGGCAGGTCGTTCAAAAAAATCACGTTCTCCACCAACTTTCGACAGGAGTGCAGCCTCTGCTCCTGGTACACGTTCAGGGACAGTGTGTCCACGATCTCCCCGTGCTTGAAGAAGCGCCCCTGAAACACATACTCGTAGAACTCCTCGACCCTGCGGCGGGTCCTGTGGGGCAGCTGCTTCCGCTCCATGTACTGGTGCAAGTGGCTTATCGCCACGTTGTACTTGAGCCTCGAGGAGTTGACGCTGACAAATAGGTGCGTGGCTCCCGTTAAAAGCCAAAAAAACATCAGCAAGCTCAGAAAGAGGGTCAGCGACACCTGCGATTGTACGTTTGTTTCATCATACCAAACAACAATTGGATTTCGCGAGTATGATGAATTACCAGAAGTTGATCCTCGACAGTCTGTGGTCGCGTTTCGGATGGAAAGCCAGAGCGCATAGTCGTAGCGATCGATCGGAGCAAACAGTGCTTGTACTTGCTGATATCACTCGGGTTTTCCCACAAACTCTTAGAGTTGATCCAAGAGTCCTCGTTCGGTCTTCGAGGCGATGTCATGGAAGCCACAGCTACCGGCGTGATCCAGTATAGACAAGCCTGCCAGTGGATTATCGTACCGATCCAGTAAATGGCACTGAAAAAATCGGTGAAGGAGCGTTGGAGCCCGTAGTATCGGGACAGCCTGTCGCTGTACGACATCGCGGAGACGCTTCGGAAGATAAAGATGAGAGATGCCATTTCTCGGGCGACGATGTGGCGGTTCCAACCGATTTCGAAAAACACGTCCGTTGGGATGGACCCCGCTAGGTCGAATACGAAACGGTTCTTTGCGTAGTGAGTGGCGATGAGCCTCGATCTCAGCTCAATGGAGCCCTCGGCCTTGTCCAAATATCTGGATGGAAAATTGAAATGGATTGAACAAAACTTTGTCCAAAGTAAAAAAAATCTGAACGAGCATTAAAAACAGCTGCGTAAGGTAAATATTTCTCTGAAAGAGCAACGATATCAAAATTTCCACTTTACCCTGTCAAGAAATTGATGATGACGTCACAGCAGCAGCAAGCTATCAAAGTACTCTTTAAAATGGCCCACGATTCGAAAGTACTTCTAGTCATGTCAAAAGCTGCCTGATAGGGTACGAGTATCAAGCCAGCGCTCATCACCATAACCATGAATACGTCCCAGCAGTATCTACGCACGGTAATTCTTTCGCATCGTCAAGTTCTCAAACGGCCTTGTGGTGGTTAAAATTACCTGAACAAGCTGAAGGGGTGAATCATGTAGGTGTGGTATTGCAGCTGCCGTAACTTTTCATTGTTGATCTGTGCGTGACTGTTGAGGTACTTGCGTGCGCTCCGGTTTTCATGGGAGGCGATGAAAAGCTCGCGAAGGTAAATCAACGCGCGATCCAGTTTGCTTTTGCTCAGCGCGAGCAGCTCTTCGCGCTTGCTGAATGTTCCGGGTGGACAGAAGTCGTAGATCTCCTCGCGAGTGAATGCCGGTTTCATGACTTTTATTCGGGAACAAGGGCTGTCTGAAGGTGATAGAGTTTCGGATTGTTCGTATCACAGGTTATGTTTATTAATCATTAGTATAATCATTAATTTTAACATTGCTTCGCCGTCTTATCTTTCTCTCGATTTCATTGATTTATGAATTTTTTTTTTTTTTTTTTTTTTTTTTTCTTTTTTTTTTTTTTTTTT